GCACGAAGGGAGCTGCGGAGAACGATTTGCCCGGCTGCGCTCGCCGCGAGAGAGCAGGTTCAGGGCTCGCTCGCTCTGTCTCCCTTTTTTTTGTTGTAATTTAGTATTCTTGTCTCACCCCACAGGGGTTCCTCAGCCGTCGGCTTAAAGGCTCCATCAAAAGGACAAAGAGCCAACCGAAGCTCGATAGGAACAGCAGCTTCCGGCACATTTTACCTGGCTTCAGGAGTGTGGACAATGAGAGGTAAGGGGACGCTTCTCGGAGGGTGGGGAGGAGGGTGTGGGAGACAGAACGAGGGTATTGATTTTTCCCAGGTCTTGTTAATGTCTCGCTTATCTTATTCAGAGCGAGGGCCACATCTGTGAGAGAAGTAGACTTGTTTAATTGCAAGAGGGGTGATTTTAATCTGTTGGCGAGCAGACAGTGCAAGCCCTCCCTTTTTAGGTTAAATAGCACGTACAGAGAAGCCTGACTGCTCTGCTTTCTTTTCCCCAATAAATCCTAAGTTGATGCACCAGCATATAAATAGCACATAGATGCAGCAGCCAAAGCCGACGGATGCGGGTGAGGGAGGGAGGGGAGGGATGCTCACACGCCGGACTACATTGAACATTGCTGGGTTACACGTCGTATGAACAATAACATGGAACAATAACAACCATAATCTCCCCAAATCCCTCTCTCCCCCTTCCACACACACACACATCTACAGCGTAGCCGCTGACCGCTGTCGCTGTACTGAGATGGATTCTCGGCGTGTGGCCGAAGCTGCTTTTTCTGGCTGAGCCATGACAGGATCTTTCAGTCCAGGAGGGATGCGGTGCAGGGAATGGGCAGAGGGGTCAGATGAAGCATTTGACGTGGGGTGGGCGGTATTGGAGCAAATTGCAAGCCAAATAGAGGAGAAACGAGACTTTGGGTTTATTCTTCAGCTCAGTTAGAAAGTATAGTAGCTCTTTAGTGGTTTGTCTGTATTTATGTCTATGTAGATTTATGCCCGTGCGTGCATGAGATAGACACACATCGTAGGGAAATTTATGTATAAATTCACATGCAGATCAAGGTCATGGTCGGGTAAGACAGACTCCATTACCAGTCACAGAAACAAACTAGTGGTTTGCTTCCAAAAGGAAGATCATTCAACCTTACGTGAATCATTTTGGGGAATGACACAGAAGTATTGAATTGCCAAGAACAGTCTATGTCTGAAAGATACGCCAAATTGGACATCCACTGATGTAACCATTTTGTAGCAGTGGCATTTTAAAATATCAAGACGGCACTTTAGAGTCCACTGAGTAAATGCTTCACTTTTAAAAGCAATGACAACTTTTACTTTGTTTTAGCTATACTTATTCGTTGGAGGGGCCATGAATTTCTGAAGCCCATGAATGACAATTGTCAATCTGGATTTTTCCTTACCTGACCTATTACAGCCTCCTAAGCTTTTTTCTTCTGCCTTCTGCAAATAAAAGGACTGTGCTGGTCAGCGCAGAGGAATATTTCAGGGGTTACTATCTGGGAAGACAGAGTTGATTTGATTCCTGTGCTGCAGTTTTCACAAACGCTCGAAGTAGGGCACTGTGTTCCATATGGAAGACAAGTGAGCGTAGCCGGGCTGCCGGGAATCTGCCTGCGGTGCTGCTGCTTCACCCAAAGAAGGGGCAAATTAGGCAATGTTTTCTTTCTACCTAGACGAGTTTTGTTTCTTTCTGTGAACGGGCGGTTAGGACATGGGAATTAACCCTTTCGGCCAGCCCTGCAGCCAAACTCATTTTCCCAAATTAAGCCATGTAATTTCCCTGCCCTCCCAGCACGAGAGCCCTGGAGCTTGCTGGGCAGCGTCCTTTCAGACACAGCCAGGTTTGCTGCAACTTTTCTTCGAAGAGATCCAGCACATGGCTGTAGCACGTTTTCAGTGTAGAGCTTAAAGGGTGGGTTAGAGGAGAGGTAAAGTTTGGCAGCCTTGAATAAAACCCGAGGATTTTCTTACAGGAGTATTTTAGAAACGGAAAATGAAAGGCTTCCGCTAGGCAGGTATCGACCATAAATACACTTAATCTACGGTACACAGACATGCCCTGATGGGGAGGGGAGGGAACTGTCTGCCACTGGGTAGCTTTTGACAGCAAGCTCTTAGTCCCCTAGCTTCATAGTACTGGCAGATCTATAACGTAAGCGAGTGTCCTTCTGCCGAAGACCTTGGCCTTAGGTCCTGGTGCTCTCGGAGCGGTGAAAGAAAAGCAGCAGCTGGGCTTCTCAGTCATCCATCGACGTTTTGGGTATGGAAGATAATTTCATCTTCCTGAACATTCCCATCCACGTCTGCTAAAATGCACAATGCACTCACTTCTGTATGGGAAAGGGCTTGAGTCTTTTAGATCACTCTCATTCACTTGCTGCTGGGCTTCCTTGTCTGTCTTGAAATCCAAGAACTGCTTCAAAGAAGCATCTGGTATCGGAATATTTCCCTCTTAAATATTTGATTCTTGACTCCATCTTGTATCCAAGCTGATTGTTCGCGAACTGCTCCTTTGCTCATGGAAGTAACCGATGTAACAGCGTTCTGTTCTGGAGCTCTGTAGATTTTTTGCAGGAGATGCCATAGCAAAAACGAATAGTGCAATAAATGCAGTCAAAACACTCAAGGTTGAAATATTGAGCTATAGTGGATCATAAATGATTCTGTTGCTTGGCTTCTGTGTATCTAAATTGGTACTGTGTCATGCCTCTTAGTTTCTTTATTTTTCCTTTTCTTGCACGTTCTGTTTATCCTGCTCTGGACAGCAGATGCGTATGGGTGTATGAAATGTGCACATGCATGTACAGACAGCTAACTAGGTGGATGTCTCGTGTATGTAGAGCAGAGAAGAGAATATAAACCAACATATCTATGCCTTTTATCCTGTGTTTGATTAATACATGCATTATATATCATGTAAATTTAAAATGGAGAATTACTGCCTCCCACAATAGTGAGAGGTTTGTACGGCGTGAGTTTGATATCAAAGGAAAACAAGGAAATATCATGAAACGCTGGAAAAGTCAGGGCATGTCCCACTGGCGTCAGTTCAGAATCACCCTGTTAATTTTGGGCCAGGAGGGTCTGGGTTTCATACCTTGCGCTGACGCAAAGAGAGCAGCCGGGTTTCCAGCGGAGTCTTGCAGAGCCGCCCTCGCAAAGCGTGGTCACCGCGTCCCGGGGAGGAGCCGGCAGCTCTGAAACGGGGGGGACACAATTCGTCAAGGTGACGTGCCATCTACCAGGGTCCCGTGCTCATCGCCAGACGCTGTTTGCAGCTCTGCCGTGGCGCGGCCGTGCATGTTCAGGGCAACTATGAAAACTGAGTGAATTTGGGTTTAGTAAAAGCTTAGCCCACCGTTTTTTTTCTATAGAGAACATCTGAGGAATTGCTCAAAGTGGTACGTTAGCTAAATACGCTGATCATAGTCAAGCAGAGCTTATGTTTCTAGAAAAACCGGATTGTTTCTCATAGTATTGGATTTTATGTTGACTGAGAAGAGACCTTTTGTTTGAAAAAGGTGGAATAAGTAAAATACTGTGGGGTTCACACTGGAGTAGTTGGCCAAATTTTGCTAGTCTTTCGCATACTGATTCTTTTCGAGGAGCCCTCTTACAGTAACAGTAATAAAACTATTGATTGTGAATAAGAGAAGCAAAATCAGACCAAGTATAACTAGTATTCTGTATGAGAGGTGCCGTAATCTGGAACAATCAGTGTATATAAATGTGAGATTTAAAGGAGGATTGTGGAATGAGTGCTCCTTTCAATTTGCTGGCTGGCCAGATTGCTTGTTAGAGCTAAAAGGGTTCCGGTGAAGCGGCTTTTGGCGAACAATGGCTCCTGCGTCCTGGTTTGTTACAGCAGCTAGCAAAGTTTTATCATGGAGCGCGGAATGTTTGTCTTTGTAGGAGCCGCTCTGGAATTAGCCACAAATCAAGCATTTGGCAGATGGATTTTTCTTGATTGGACCCACATTTCTCCTACAGAATTTGTGATGGAGAAAGTTTCAGGGAGGGGCTTTGGGGGCGGGGAGCAGAGCCAGAGAGCTGGAAGAAGGTTATTCTGCCGGTGTTAATTATTGTTATTAGTGCATTCCTGGTTGTTTTCTTGTTGTAGTGACCTTTTTCAGTCACTGCTGTTACTTTGTTACAGTAATATTTTAAAAATAATTTCTGACAGTTTTTCAGGAATTTAAAAAGTCAGTCTATATGGGGGTTGTTGTTTTGTTGTGTCTTTTTTTTAAATCGCAATACATGAACTTGGTCCCATCTCCTCTGAAACTGGGAAAGGCTGCCGGGACTTTGCGCTAGCACTGAGAGGGCAGCGACACGGTGTCACTTTGTGGGATAAATACCTTCAGACTTTCTTGATTTGGTGGAAGATGTGTACCCGGTGTAACTCCATGTTCTGATGTAACCCCCGAGCTGATCATTCCTAGGGACACCTGGTCTCAGTGCACCTAGAACTCATTTCATGCTAAGGGACTCTCAATTACTAACATTTGTGATTTTTTTTTTTTTTTCATAATTCCAGAAGAGAATATTCTATTTAAGCTTTTTCTTGGCACTACAAAAGTCTGAGCATATGGTTGATTGTTAAATGAGCCTCAGCCTTGGAAGGGTACAGCCACGCATTAATAACAGCAACAACTTCCGCTACCGCTACTTCCTCTTTTTTTTTTTTATCCCATCAAAAATTTTTGCTAATAACCCACAGAGGGAGGAGGAAGTGTACAAGTCATGTACCGTAGCGTATTTAATTCCTAAGCTAGCGCTAATGCAGTCTGCTCTATGGCTTTTCAAATGTTCATAAAACTTATTTTGACGCAAGAGGAGAGCATCAATAACTAATGAACGCCTGCAGTCTTGCAGTGAACTTAGTTTGTGAGTTCTTTTTAGATCTAATTATCATTATTTGTTTATTCCCAACAAACTTGCTATGCCAAATATTTTTAGGCACGATGAAATTGGTTAAGTTTGATGAGAATATGGTGAGTGCTGCATTGCAAAGGATGAAGAAGTCGCTCTGTTTCCTTTGGCAAGCGCAGTGACTCACCCCGCAGAACGAGGACACGGGCAGACCCCAGAGCGCACGAAGGGCTTTCAGGTCAGTGCGAACGAGTGCTGGAGAGCGTGCTTTCTCTCCTGGCTCCTTACTTAAATGGCATTAGCCGGCAAAGCTTTCTAAATAGGAGGACTTACCATAGTGGGTGCCCAG